TTTACATTGAAAATTTCTCTGCTGTTAATACCGAAATTAGAAATTTAAATTTTATTCTCTTTATAATTATTTCAAATATTTATAATTTTAAAACTTCACGCCAGAAGTTAATAAAAAAGCTGCTTATTTGTACAGCTGACGTTAACAAATTTTGTTGAAAAAACAAATCAGACAGGTGTGTCCGACCGAGGCCGAGCTGTTTATGTTTACTGAATTCAAATCACTTGAACTGAACTGCTATGAATTCGAAAACCACCAGGGACTTTTTATTCTTTTGTGTGGAAAACCTATCAAGCTAGTTTCAAAATGTCGACGGTTCTCTGCAGGTACAACATTTTGCCTGAAATAATGCATAAAGGCGCACCTGAGGTCTTCGCCCCTAGTAAAGCTAATGTGTGTAGTGAAAGTTTGAAAAGAAACCACAAAAAAACAGTAATTACCCAGAACATGCAGAACCACAGTTAACTTAGAGCGTAGCTAGCCAAAATGAATTTAAGTTAACAGATTTCTACATTTTTTTTTTTTGCGAAAAAAAATAGGGATAATATTGAACATACAGGAAAATATAAGAAATTATTTCAGATATTATGATCAATAAGGTAACGTTCATGTTTAACTGAAAAGTAGCTTCCACAATGTAAACTTTCAAATTAAATGTTATATTGGACATGACACATTGTATTCTAAATAATCAACAGAACATTGCTTTACACCGCAAATGATCTGGGTTTTTATCTAGCGCAAGTGATTATTCCATAAAATAGAAATACATTGCCAAAATTATCCCTGTTGAAAAGACTGCCAAAAATACAACTGCGTCGTATCATATTTTATTTTCAACTGCGTCGTATCATTTCGTAAAAATCATTATTTTCTTAGAAAATAAACATCTCTTTTTAATAAAATTTTAGTAAATGATGCAAAATTATATTTCGAAGTTTATGGTGAACTCTGAAACAAATATATAATTGATTTGAAGGAAAAAACGATAGATAAAGCAATATGAACTGCGTCGTATCCACACATTTTCATAAAAATTCTGCCTCGCTTCGAGTTGCAAGTTCGCTATAACTTTTGTTTTACAAAATAGTTGTGCAAGCAACATATACCAAACGAAGCGGAAAATAGTGTAGCGTGTTAATACATATATCTTGTTTTCAGTCATTTCCAACAAAAAGAGTTACAAACAAAAACATACGTTTTTCGTTTCAAGATGGCGGCGTTTGTTTACATTTTGTAGGATACGACGCAGTTTTGATTCCCAGCCCTGGGTGAGTAAAATGGAGAAATAGGAGACATGGCATGTATGATTTTAAAGGAAATACAGTGTTTGTTTTTTTGAGACATTATCGTCCAAAATGCATTAAAGATGGAATTGATGACAAAACGATTGAAGTACTTTCAAATTAGTATTCTGCTTAATATCACATAAATAGTATGTAGGTTTGAATTATTCTAACGATGGCGGAATAAGTATAATTGTTTAACTTTCTCTCATTCCTGTTGTAGAATAAAGATTATTGTTGTTATGGTTTACTTCAAAGATACTTAAATGAAGGTTGCTGGTCCTTTGTTTTTTTTATATTTTTATAACCGATTGTAGAAAAGTTGTTTTTTGCTTTGCTTTTTATTCGGCGATTGTTGAATATAGATTGTTGTTTCTTTGTCTTCAAAAACTGTTTATGAATAAATGTTGTTGTTTCTTTGTGTTCATCCAACTATTGAAGATTAATTACTAAATATAGAATATAGAACGATGTTGATGCTTTCGTTTTTATTCAATAACTAGAGAAAGATTGTTTTAAATACCGTTTGTAGAACAAAGATTGTCAATGTCATATTCTGGAAATATTATACAACCATAAGACACAAAATTAGAAAGTGAACTTTTCCCTATTTTACTTTGAATAGAATACTTATACTTGTGTGTTTGTCAGGTTTAATACAGAAAATAATTAAACGTTCAAAATATAATGTCCTTCATATATTCAGATTGCACCTGGGGTCCAGTACATTCTAAAACAATTCTGTATTCTCTATAAATATTGACATGAAAAAATATGTTTACAGTATTACTCAGATCTGCGTAAGTGTGAAAATACAATGTGAATATGACGTAAGATTAAAAACAAGATCAATATCTAAATATATTATTTACATAAATAAATGTCCTGATGATATTGTGAAACCGGTAGAGGTACAATTAGATTACATAAATTAAGCAAAGGTTTGTTATTTTAACTTTTACTGTTTTATTTTATATTATTTATATATCTATTAAATTTTATATATCTAAATATATTATTTATATTGTATTCGCAAGGAAATGTTATAGACTTGTGAATGAATAGCTGCTAATACAGCGAGGAAATTAATCAGACACTACGATATTTTCATTCAATTGATAATAACGTCACAATTAAATTCAGTTAAAATTAGTTTTTGTGTAAATATTTTATGTTGATTAAATAGAGGATATTTGTTTAGTTCAGTGTAAGATCGGAATATATTTCACCGAGTGAGCACCAAAAGGTATATTTCACGAGTGGCGCAGCCATGAGTGAAATATGAATTTTTGGTGTTCACAAGGTGAAATATATTTCGATCTTACACTAAACTTATCAAATTTTCTTTTTATTATATGCAAAGAAACATTTTAAAAAGACAATAAACCTAATACTGAATGAAAAGCGCGCCAAATAATAATGCAACGTGACGTCATTTACGACGTCATGTCATTAAGTTGGTACCCAGTACTGTGCACGCTTGTATTTCACTGAAACAACGTAAGGGGCTTAAATTCAAAACAGTGAAATTATCAAAGTGGTAATTTCACTGTTTCAAACAGTGAAATTACCAGTTTTACTTCACTGATATATTTCTATAAACCACCGAAAAGCATGTAATAAAAGGTTGCATTCAATAAATTGCAATATACGCACTTAATAATGGACGGAAAATCCAATTTGGTTATAGTACAATCATATACAATATTCTTAGTCTTATGGTCATGAAGTAATGTATGCTAATGATTAATGCCATAAGACGTCATCAATACAGAAAAAATGACGGTCGGAATAAAACCCATGAAAACATTTTCAAAGTTTGTTAGACAAGTAATGGAACCATTTAATAATTTTTTTCCACTGATTCTATATCACGAGAACATATAATTACACACTTCAAAAAATTCTAGAAATGTATCTTCCTTTGATAAGTCAGAACATAATAAAAAATTATTCACAGCAGTCAATCTGTATTAAACCTCAAACGTCGAGCATGTGCTCTTATCGTCTACTCTTTACCTTAAAATCCTTTCTTTAGAATCCTATCATTAGCTTTTATAGCGACTGTCACGCTATGTAGAACATGGAAAATAACTTAATATTAACATTATCATGTCTAAACTTTATGAATGTCTCAAATTATGTTATCTTGAAGATGTTAATATTTCCTCCGATGTAATTAAGAATACATTAATTTAATCAATCTCTTATTGGAATGATTGAAAGGAAATAGTTTTGACAGACAAATATGATTTAACAGAAAGACAAGTTTAGTGCCACTACAAGTCTTTACAGTAGTGATTCCGATTTCTGATTTCTTCTGGTAGTCTGTTTCTCAACTTTGTCATTTGCACACTTATTATAGGAAAGAAAAGAAGAAAGCTAAGACATATGATGATACTCTGATTTACAAAAGAAATGCAATACACATATATTTTATGCATACCTTGTAAAGAATATTCCTGAAAATTTTAGATAAAAGAAAAACCAGTCTAATATTTTTTCTAATGTCAACAAAAATATTTTTCTCAACGAAAATAAAAACGGAGTAAGAGGCTTCAGTTGATTGATGCTTTGAATCTTCTGATGTAATTGAATTTCTGCATGAAAGCATTTTCATCTCTTGTTACGTTTGCGAATGAATGCTAATCCACGATGATGAACATGTTTTATTTGGTAAAAGTGTATCAAAGTGTCACCCATAACCAAATCTCTTCACGCAAGCTCTCGTAGATATTACAAACGTTGCAGCTTTCTTGAATTTATTGTTTTTACTAGTATTTATTTTGCTGCTTGAATTATGTTCAATATTAGCATAGTTTTTATCCATGTGCGACATGCATTATACGCATAATGGTAACATTGTTAATGAACGGCGCCATTGGGTCGCCGCAATAGAGCATATTTGCGTGAGAAAGGGTCCTTTGCATTGAAAATTGTCATGATTCATGAATCCTGTTTTCAGCTATGGATGCATTTATTATAAGGACATTATGACAGTGCTTTTGTGTTTTTTTATTTTATTTTATTTTATGAATGGTGTTTGAATGAGAAGAAAACTTGTCCATATATGTATATATATATAAAACATCATAAGCGTTATATTATGCGGAAACTATTCCTCTTTTGTTAACTCGACCTTTGTTTTTATCAGTTTTATTTATCTATAAATATTTTATATAAAAAGTAATGAAAGATTTGAATTTCTATTCATAATTTGGACTCGACGTGTAGTATTTATCTTGTCATTTGCGTTATATCCTATTTGATACATTATTGTTTTCCCAGATCATCTCAGGTGTATGAAATAATATATTATGTAAACATAAAATATGAAGTTTATAATTGACGTAACCGGACTAAACAAGTACGGCCTCGTTTTCTTGGTATATTTATAATATATAAGTGATATATATCAACACGCTTTCCTTGTTGTAAATATTGCAAAGGCATATCATGTGGTTTATCCATGTCCTATATTCTTTTATGCAACCGGTTTGTTGATGACCACACTTTTCAATCGCACCACATCTTGTATTACATATCAGAAAAATACACTTCAATGTTATGCAATAAATCGGTCATACATATAGGACTATATCTGCCATAATGTAACCAATTCAGCCCATTTTCTCAAATTCTGTCAATCGGAATTTACCTAATATGTGATAGTAACGACAAACAGTCAATTTATTTTTTTTATTTCGATTGCCCTTGGTGTGCCATAAAACGTCACAGTAACAAATGGTTGATTTAAAACTTTAAATAAGTGTTATTTCATTCTATTATTCACGATACAGGTTTATTTTTTCTTGTTTTTTTTAAACATATTAAACACTCGATTCTTAAGAGTTTATGTCAACAATAGATAAAGAGAGAAAGAGAGTTCGCATTTTTTGACCAAATGTCATCTCTACAACGTTTTATTCCAGAACACTTGCTTGAAATGTTAAAGTGTCTGTACATCGGACTCTCGTTGATGCTTAAAGTTGTTTCAACTTCTATTACAGCCAAAACATAATCAACATTTTCAATGTACAAACAATAAATGATGGTACAATATTCAAAATAGCACGTGTTCTACATGGTGACACGTTTTGAAAATTGAAATAGTATGCCCTACATGTATATCGTTAACTGCCATTCATATTTAAGATTAATCCGGAATTTTCAAATTTGAAACTCCCTTTTGTTGTTTTAATTAATTTGCAGGTAAATATGTAAACATATAATTTCTGCAGCAATTTAGTTACATCGCTGGTGAAGTAATCAAGTTCAGAAATCCTTTTCTGTATTAAAGGTTCTGTAATACTTTTTTGTGTAGAAGTGTTCTTCAGTAAAAGAAAGACTCATTGATAGTATGCTGTTATAACGAATTTTTATAACATTTATCACAATACAAAATCAAAACAACAGTTGCTTTCAAATAATCAAAACAACATAATAATAATTTCATTCTTTAAACTTATATAATGGTTGAATGATTGAAACTGGAATTTTTTAATTAATGAATGAGCAATGAGAGAGATGAAATCATTCTGTACATATTGTGACGTTTATACCAGCTGGAGTTTCAAAACATATTTGCGCATTATCTTGGTCGGTCAAATCCTTAACTGCGGTAAGAGAGCTATCATCTCCAGATTTTGTATTACTTATGATAGCAAATGTTAACATTTCAATTTTATTCTTGTCATGTTGTGTATTGGTCGTAGAAGATGACTCCTCGTTTATTGCTTCCATGCTCGGTGCTGGTGTTAATTTAGACATGGGAACAATAGAATTCATTCTGCTACTCTCTTCATTAATCGTAGTGGGAATGCTTATGGTCGCTTCCATGAATGATTTCTTGTGATACGGTTTATCAGTATCAGATGTTTGGTTTTGAAATGTTGGCTGATTAATCAATACCTCATGACAGTGCCTTATCACAGGTGATTTCTTTTCATGTATTTGATCATTTATAAGCTCCTTTCGAAACATGTCTTTATAATTTCTTTGGTGATTGAAAAAATCGTTATTCCTATTTGACGTTCTCGTCGATGTTGTTGACTTAAAACTTGTTCGATTCGATCCTGATGTGGATTTAAGACTGTTGTTACTGGATCGTGAAAATCTTGATGCAGGTTTTGTGTTAGACAACATTCGTACAAACGGTCGTCTGGTTAATGCCGTCGTTGTGTTTGGATTATTTCTTGTACACCTTACAATCATATTCTCCTAAAATATAAAAGCAACAACAAATTATTGTCACGTTAAATCGCAAGAAAAACGCCATCAGAATGTCAAAGCATGGTTAACTGTTTGTAGCCAAGATTTACAAACATATCTAAGGCATCCGTAACGCAATTTTCATAAAATCATAAAATAAATGTAAGATTAAGATCTTATGAAATAATTAAGTTCCTGTTTACTATTTTAGATACGATACGATGATACAGAAACCTAACGTTGTGATGAATTACCTGTTCATTGTTTTAGAATACGATACATTGATTACAGAAACCCTACAGGCAAAACATTTCTGTTCTTATTGACAGATTCAGAAAAGCGATTGACCGGATTGTGTCCAGGCTCGTCTAGAGTAATGACATTGGATGTTCCATTCTTGCAATTATATTTGTTTACTATTAACATGGCCATTTGTAGTAAAATGTTACATTGAGAAATATATCAAAAGCTTTAACCGTAGAAGTTATATTGAGTATTTGTACATATATTGTATGGAAATTTACATTTATTTAATTAGTCTAACCAGTTTCAATTATTTTGCATCAAAGCATCATATGAAAACCTTTTAAAAAGATTTGGATTTTAATAACACTGGTAAGATTTTTTGTAAGATGAAACAATCCTATTATGATAATTACATGCCTAAGGTATTGTTTTGTCCAACAGACAATATAACAACCTAGTTTTATGTACATAAATGTAACAACTGCTTATGTTTTCGATTCAGACATAATGGCTTTCTCTATTAAGTGTTGAGAATATTGAGTACCGCTCAAACTGGTGCTAGGGTGCGTGAGGGATGTTGAACGTGTTCATTATCCGTCATGTACAGACTAAATCAATCCTAGTCTCGATTCTCTTGTAATTTTGTTGTGATGATTAATGCTTCCGATGGATCACTTTGTTTCCAGATTTTTACACAAAAATGAAAGTGATTGAAAAATATCCTATTTGCAATCCTGAATTGATTCACTGGTTTAAAATTATTTGTAAAAGGTAACACAAGTCTGTTAAAATTCATAACGTTGAAAAGTTGCAAAAACGTCTGGAATTTTCATTGTGATATTGACAACGCTATAAAAATATTGCTTAATAATTTGACAAATCGTAAAGAGCAAATTATATGTATAAAATGCTTACATTATATATGCAAATACGTTAAGGAAAGTAATATTTTTGGAAACCCAAACGATCATACATTTATAAAATGGTTCAAGTTTTAAGGAGACGGTCACTTAACTCTATATACTACCATCAAAACCTTAGTCGAAATTAGACGTCATCGGTAGATCCTTAATCTCTTAATGGTTAAAAGTGATAATTACCATGTAGGAAATAACGCAATATCTTGTCTGGATTACAGTTTATTGGACTAAGCCTATATCAAGTAATGAAATACTCGTATACTCATTAGGGAGAAAACCTTTTTGAGAGTACACTAAAAAAAGGCCAATTTAAGATATGTTTCACACCTTGTCTAGGTACATCATATAGCTATGATGTATAATTTTATTGTATGACAGCTTTTGTTTTCAGTTATTTACTGGGAAAAAATGCACTACTGCATTATATTTGACAGCTGAGAGTACCTGCATACATATTAATTAGCGTTGTTCATGCTTAAATGTTGTTCAGTTTATTAATCTTATCAAGTTATTACATATTTAATTAACACTGTGATATAATGATGGGTCACGTCAATATATAATAATAGCAGTATATATTTCCTGACGTTATAAAAACGACAATTATATATGAAATATAGGAGGAAATGTTTTGTACGTTAAATATGAACAAATATTTACTCATAAACATTAGCTTATTTTTACTCATTGCCATGCACAATATGCTGATCACAATGTGAAATGTATTTCAGTTTTTCATTCTTATTCGATATTTAACATTTGACCTTGACAGATGAAATGCTTGGCTATATTAAATGCATGATACGTATTACGAGTAAGTCACATTAAGTCATATAAAAGGAAACATGCTTTTCAAATTTCCACGCAATCTGTACATTTTATAAATGCATGTTAGCAACCCTGGCGTCATATCTAGGCTTTATTTTCATGACCTAATAATCCTCAGTATTAGTTATACTGTTTCCAGGAGAATAATTACAGCCAATGATTGCTTTCGTTAAATGAAAAAAAACATTTGTATAACCGAACTACGGTGATTTAAACTTAATAATTTCTAAAGTTGTATACAGACTTATCAAGGAAGCTTCAGTAAAACAGCGTGAAGCTAATAACGTTATAATTACCTGTCTGGCGGGTTTAAATCTTCTACGTCTACATTTAAACATCCTCAATAGAACACAGCGGAAGCTTTTGCTTGAGTAGAAGTATAGAATTGGATTTAAGGCACTATTTGAATGTCCAAGGAATATAGTGTAAGGCAAAGCTACAAGCAATTGAGTTTGTTCAGGGTAGAAGTCCAAATATAGACTAACACAGTAATAAGGTAACCAACATATGGCAAACAACACTGCTAAAGCTATCAGCATTTTTGCAACACGTTTTCTGCCCTTCATCATTTGTTTAGCCATAACTTGGCTAGTAGCGGATTCAGTCCTTTTTAAATCCTTGTTTTCATTAAAAAGTTCGCTTCCAATTAGTCCATAACATGTACAGATAATACAACCAGGTATTATGTAAACGATCGCAAACAGCGCCAAATCATAATGTTGACGTTGGGCATCGTCAGTCCAATGTTCACCACAAAAGTAAACAGGTTCTGTAGGTATTATATCCATTACAGATATTTCTCTCACAATAATAAGTGGCACCATCAATGCTATAGAGAGCAACCAAACAATAAGAATAAGTTTAATGGCAACTGCGTTCGTACTTAGACGGCGGAAAAGCATCGGGTGTCGGATGGCTAAATATCGGTCTATACTAAGAAGAGCAATAGTGAACACGCTCGCAGCAACCGTGACACCTGGAAAATAAATAAATAATTCCTTAATAGAAAAGTTATTCATAAAACAGTCTTAGCTTATAACAAGAATTCTTAAAACAGCAAGAGGATTATACACCGACATAGGTTCTTTCCTTCTTAAAGGCGAAGGAAGTCATTAAAGTGGGCAGATGGTTTCACAGCAGAACAATGACGGATACTAGATGCTAGCAATGACATGGAAACTCTTATAAATGTTTAGTACTATCGTGAATAGAGACATTTTTATCGATTAGTCTCTTGTAATTACTATATTTTATCATCTTCGCAGAGCAAAGATTTCATCAAACCCACACATCAAGGAAAATTGTGTTTTCTCCTATCAACAAATTGAGTCTCATTTGCACAAACTATTATAGCGCTGTTTCTCCACTTCAATCAGATATCAGAATAAGAATTGTTCACAGTTTATGAATTCAAAATATTTTTAACATTTGATCGAAACAAGCTTTATAAGGATTTAAATCTTAGGGCTTAATTTCGTTTTTATATATAAAACAATCTATATTTGGCAACTTGCAATTTATGAAACTTATATCGCGAAATTTATTTATTTACTTTAAAGTGTTAAATTCACATTAACATTTATTTATTTACTTTAAAGTGTTAAATTCACATTTACATACTAAATGACCAATAAACCAGTAAGAAGAACATAACAGGAAGGGCTGCTGAACATAGTTATGCTAAACAATTTAGTCCTTTTGCATGAATTATATCATATTTATGATACTTATCTTTAAAATTAAAGCAGCACGCCTCGAGATTCATGCTAATTTTCATGAAAAAATGAAAATGTATTAACCGTATAATATTGTGAAGTTACCAAAAGTATGCAAGTTTCACATTATCAATGGCACTTACAATCCGCGTAAATTACCATAAAGAGGTCAAAATGTGCAAAAATAGCCCTTACTGCGTTAGTAACGCAGTAGAAATATAGTTATAAATACTTAAAAAAATCGGTCATTTATCGCACATAACATGTAAATTATTACTCGAATTTTAAATCTTTATACTTTTTATAAAATGTTAGTACATTTTTCTCAGGTTTGATTTTATCGAAATATTTTTGCTCATCTAGAGGCGTGCAGCTTTAAGGTCATTTTGTGGACATTATGTTTATTAACATTGAGATAAAACTGTTTCCCAGATATGAAGTTTACAAATACCGAACATATATTTTTCTCCATTAACAAACTTTTGAAGAAGTTAAGCTTTGTTGAATGTTTGAAACACCGATGAATGACATAGCATATTTAGTGTTTATACTCTGTAATTTTTTACAGAATTATTTAAATCACGGATATTATACGTTCTTTAAGGTTTCAAGGTTTACGAAGAAGGATATGACATAGTGGTTAAGGTGTTTTTACTTTAACTTTAAAACGATAAGTCAAAGATCTGTTGAATAAATATAAGGAAACGGCATAATGAAAAACGTTTCCTGTAAACTCTGGACGTAGGGCTTTGGAAAGAAAAGGCGAAATAAGGTCCGACGCAGAAAATTTTACAAACAAATCTAAAAATATTAATCCCAGAAGAGGCAGTGTTAATACGATGTGTTTGACTCAAAGTTATGTTGCTAATAAAATGGTTACTAACCTTGCAGAAATCCCGTCATTTTACACATGAACTCTCCATACAGCCATATTCTATACAAGGCTTGACCGACCGCAACAGGGATACATATAATCGTTACTGAAATAAACAAAAAAACATTTTAATTTATTTGTATATTTGTACCTCTTATCCTTGATAGATTTCAGTCGTCGCTTTCTATACAACTGATCGTAGTATGTACGACAAATAAGAAAGATGACAGACTATGGAAAGAAAGAAGATGCAAAACAGCAACCTTTATGAGGGTATCTGCCACCAAAACCTGACATAACATTATGCCTGCAACATTTTCAATTTTGCCAGTCTAAGCGTTCTTCACAGATTTGTATTCCTCCCAATTTAGTTATAAGTAATAGAATGTTCAAAAACAGCTTTTATTGCAAAGAAATAATTGTATTTTAAACGTTTATACCTTGTTTTTAATTATATAAAAGAGAACTTAACAATCTACGGGCATAATCATTTAATCACGAATTAAATTGAAATAATTTTTTTTTCACGTCACATGAATCAGTTTATAAATAAGCAAAAATTTTTAATAAATTCATAAATACTCCGGTAATGTATGTTATAGTTTTTTTGTAAAATAACAAGAATAAAGATCAACAAGCCAAAGGCAACGTTCACAGGACGCTGCCCCCGGACACACCCCGGATTATAAGTTTGACTCAATTACCAAACGTCAAAACGTCAACGTTAAAATATTAAAAGATTATATCTTAAATAAATCAGGTGCTTGTAGCCTTATTAATTTTACTATGTCTCACATATCAAAAATCAGTGGCTTCTTCATATTCGGTTTCACACGTCACTTTCCGTTATTGTGTTATAAAGTAAAATTCAATATAAAATGTGATATCTGAAGGGACCGTCATTTCTCATCCAACGAATCGTTGGTGAAAGAGAGGTTTTGAGGGTAGGCCATATTCAAAATAATGACTTTCTACTTTTAAACTTGCACATGTTAGAATAAACATCCACTCTGTACAAGGGACAACAAAATAAATTATCTTGTTCCAATCAAAAAGGTTTATAAAAGAGAATAACTGAGCCCATCATAATAATATTATTTACAGACTACATATATGATAACATGTTTGAATGTAAAAATGCCATATATCATTATCAAATGTTGCTTAACTAAACCGCTATTAAATGGAAACTACTAAAGTATCACTTTTGTTTATGTAGAACACTTTTTATTTTATTAAATAACAAGCACATTGGCTTTACATGGAAACAAAGAGGTTTTGTAGATTTATGTTTTTATCCCCAAGAGACTGTTGCTAAGACACGTGAGAGTGTAACCATTATAAAGCTGCAGATCGACTACTAATCAATGTCATGTATCATTTACCGTGGTTGTTGAGAAACTGAAGACTAATGAAACGTAAAAAAATCGCCTTCATAGCCATATCAAGCATTTAACGTTATGTATTAGATCGATTCATTTATTATAGCAAAGCAAACAACAGATTTCATTTAAAATAACAATATTTCTATGTTTTACAGAAGTATCATTTTTGACGAACAACATATTGTCTGTATAACGGTGTTTGTAAAGTTTCAAATAATCGGTTTCAAGCGCTCAAAAACATTTAAATTTTGTAAAATAATCCCTCGTGAACCGACTCTGTCTTGAAATTTGAATTATTACAAAAAAATAGTTATCTAACTATTCTTAAGCTGAATTCAAATTATCAAATCTTATCTCGAATTGTTTTAGATACGAATTTATCTTAGAGGAACGATTTATTTGAGAGAAAAAAATATATATTCCAAACATTCATTAACGCCTGAAAGAAATTAATCCTAAATACATAACAAAAGATATGAAAATATATGAAGCATAATTATTCTGAATTTTTAATGTAATTTAATTATATGCTAAACGTCAAATAATTTCTATTCTGATCTATAAGAGCATGCATAGAACATAATAATTTTTATATATGAATCAAGTCCAGCAGTAACAAATATACATGTTAGGAGGTTTAAGTAAATATTATAAGGTTAAACGAAGTTTCCGTTTTGTTACATTGTATTGCATTCAGAAGCGATCAACTTTTTATGACAACTGTAAAATTATAGTAATTGTCTCACATTTTGTTACGGTATGTTAACTTACCAGATAAATCGGCTAGTGCCAAATTACACAGAAACAAATTTGTTAAATTCCGAAGTCTTTTTTTACTCAGAATAACCACAGTGAGAAAACCATTTCCAAGTAGACCTGCTATGAATGCAGGAATATATAATACCACAAGACCATATGCAACGGACTCTTTACGATTTATTTGTCCAAAAAGATGATTTTCCAGTAAGTTTCTGACAAAGGTTTGATTTAAAGTAAAATTAAAAAATGTTGAATTGGACGCATTATTAAAGCTTGTTTCTGATAACGAAATAAGATCCTGGTCTTCCATTTTTATTTAACTAAATGTGTATATAAAGTCCGTTAATTAGCTTATCTTCAACTGCGTTTTTTCATGGCAATGTCTCCTAAAACTATTCTGTCCACCTCGGTGAATCTGCGGTAAATGATCAAGTCCTATAGAAAGATTTCCGATAGTCAGATAGTAATCTGTCTTCACCATTATTTGTTCTCCTTCAACGTTCCAATATTGGAAAGGAATAAATCAGCGTTCTTTTCTACAGAGTTATTTTCTTAAGATGTGCAATGAGGGATTACTAATAAAATATTATTTAGAATCAAATGAGAAATGATGATTAACGAAGCCAAATGCAATGTTTGAAAAGATGACAGTCATATAATAACATATTATCTCTCGTTTCCTAATACAATGTACCCGAACGCAATGCATTCATTGTTTTGTAAAACAAGTATTAAGCAGCAAGTTTGGATCGTCACGTTATTAGTAAAACCGCAATATAGTTGTATAAATGTCCTTTACTTATATCAATGCTGACAAACATGACGTCAATTGTGTGCGCTTAGTGTTTTGAACTATTTCTGACATATAATCAAGCACCCACATGCAATTTATATTTCTCAATACTTATATAAAAAAAAATGAATAAAAAGAAAGAATATTATGTCATTTACAAAACAATATGCCAGCCCTATTTTTTTATCATTTTATTCGCTACTGATATTAGATTTGCTTGCCGGTTAAATTGGAAACTTGTAAAGTGGAACTTTAAGAAATAAATTCTGAAGTTTAATTATAAGGAAACTGTCAATGTTATGTATATATGATATTCAATTAATACTTGCAAGGTAAATAAAAGATTTTCAAGCATTTTAATGTGATATTAGAGCATTATTCACCATCAAACATATGTATGTAGTTTAATAAATGATAACAATTTTAAAGATAACATTAAAAAAGTTAATGAAGTAAATATCAATCTTTTTATTTAATTAGTTACATCTCCATGGTGACATTGTGTATTGAGGTTTGACGTTAGAATGAGATATATCATTTGAATGCTTTCCTCAGTTGATTGACAACAACGAGATATATAAATGACAATGTAAGAATCAATGAATGTTCTCTCAAAGCATTATCTGTACCAAGATAATTAAATTGACCATTGTTAGCTGAATCTATAGGTTTAAATGTTGATGTATCAGTAATGATGCGAAAAATAATAGCGTAAACACATCTTTCGTATGATATTTCCATGACAATGCCTTTTTTTCATCTGTTAATCTTTTTTTTATCTTTTTTTAGTAATTACTCAACATGACCTGTTATAAAATAGCCATAAAGATTTTTCTTGACTTGAATACACAACAAAAATGAACATGAGATTGACAATAGAGGCTTATAAAAAGAAAACCTTTAAAAACACTTTAGAAAACGTTCGGTTCTATTACTCCAAAACGATCTTCAAGCTTTTTGGGTTTTCAAATGGTCCGATTATTAAACCTTTTTTTCGATTACCATGTCCATTCGAAGTGTGATTATATCGGGATATAATAATTCATAATTTCATGTGTGTATTTTTTTTTAATTTATTTATCATCAACGAACAAAACTATATAGTATTTATGTAAGAAGGAGATTCTAATTGCCAACCAGTCTGGCACAGGAACACAGCCGTAACCTACATATATTTACCTCTGGTACACTTTAAATGTATGTATGTCGGCCAACATATTTTTTCTTGCTTTGGTTGAGCCTGTTCGTGAAAGAAAAACACTTCCAGTCACACCCTGTATCACCGACGTAAGCTGATATTTTAACATGAAAATAATTGCGATTGTCGATATAAAAATATCTGTTAATGTGATCATATAACGGTTAAGATGGAACATGCAATGTGACACTTTACTTGATTCATTTAAACATGATATGGGCAAGCAAACAATCAGCGGATGTAAAAATGTTTCAAAGTTAAAATCGGATTGGCCGCACGTGCCTAATAATGCAATCAGTCATATTCATTATATCATTTCTCTCTGTCTCTGTTTCACTAAGTGTTGTATTAGAAACTCCGATAAAAAAAGAATTGAAACGAATGAATGCAGCAGGGAATCAAAAATGCGTACAAACTTCGTTTTGAAAATTACTCTCTGTCTGATATTTACGCTAAGTCGATCTCAGTCCTGTCACGCTACGTTTAAACCAAGCTTTATTATCATGAAAGCTTTTAATGGACACGTCAGGAAATGACTTTACTTGTAATGACATTTTTTTCTCGTAGCAAGTCTTAAGGCTTTTCGATACCTTGCCTATCGTTAGTTCAAAAAGTCGTGTATAAATGCTTTTGACAATTAAAAAGACATTTATTTCGATTTTCTGGAGGGGGATATTTTAAATTTATGACAGCAAAATGGTTAAATAACCAGAGTTAAGCATAACGAAAAAAGTCATTGTTGTTATTTATATAGCATGCGCTTAAAACCATTCTAAGATACTTTAATGCGCTAAATGCTCAAGATTTATGATACAACATATTATAATCATATCAATTTGTCCAATATTTAATCAAACAGTATAAATACACTATTAATATTCAAAATATTAAAAATAGATAATAATTCATTCATTGACAAGTGCGTTTCTCTATTCACTTGTTTTTATTCCATTTGACAAACGCAATTAATG